GAGGGGTGCACATTTGTACGCCTTGTCTTGGCGTGTGTGTATACGCACGCGGTGGAAACATGTGTGCCAGCATGTCTTTTTCGCGTACGCACACATACACATACGGCTTAATTATGGCGTTACCGAAATGGGCAGTTTGCTCTGACACCCCGCTTGCAGAATCACATAGCAGACAGACTTAAAAGAGCTCATTAGCTCTCTCTAAAGAGCTGTTTACTGCATATACACACACACAGAGTAATAGGCAGTTCTGTTGATGCAGATGGATGCCGAGTGTAATGAGAATTATTAGGCTTCTCTATGTGGAGGCTGGAGGAGAGGGGTGAAAAAAGCTGGCAGGCTAGACGCTTCAGAAGGTGGAGAAGATTTCTGCTGGATGTTTCACCCGAGTGCATGATTTCTCTCTCTCCCTTTTTCTCTGCAACGCGTACGACTCTTGGTTTAAAAAAAAAAAAAAAACTGCACACCTTATTGCATGTGTCTGTCCAAATGATCTGTAAATATGTCGGCCAGGTCTGCAGCCTTGCAGCTCGATCAAAGTGCTGTAACGAGACCAAAAACAAATGAATGGAAATATTTCTTGTTAAATCTTTAAGCCGGAGGCCCCACGCATGTAATCTTGTAACCTTAATGAAGGCCTCTGCAGCCAAAGGCCAAATTGTGCTCCACAAGTAACAGAACAATTTTATATTTTAAAGAAAAGAGCCTTGACTGTTTGTGAAAATGAATGTGTGATGCTTTTTATAACACAGAGAAAAAAGGGATATTGAATCGCCCTTTGACAATGAATTCAATGACTTTCTTTCAATGTCTTTCAAGGTCATTCATAGCAAGTAAAGGGGTGTAGTAAGGCCCCACCCCACCTGCACCATCACATTAGGGTGCTTTGCTTTGCTCATTGCCCCTGGTTTACATCACATTGAATTAAAGGATACACCCCTGAATGATACCAAAGTCAGTCCTCCTCCATCTTTTCCATATGTTTTGGAGAAGGAGCAGCAAGTTCAAAGTGCTCAGTTCAAAGCATCCGTCCTCATTTGAATAACGTAGCGTAATCGCTATTACCTTATTTAAATAGTGCAAGTTATCGTTTGGCCTTCATTTGCATTGCTGGGGTAATCACTGCTTCTCTGCATTAACCTCATTATAGAAGAGATGAAAGCCCTGATGGAGCCTGACATACTCTTTTTATATATGTTATCTTTATTAATGACAGTATTAGAAAGATCGTGTTTCTTTAAACAGAGCACATAAGAGTTTGGTGCATGTCGGGTTACAGGGAGTGAAGACTGAGACTTAGAAGGCCTTTGTTTTTTGTGTTTCCTCATTTCTATTACCTTCATCATTTTTATATATTACTCTTATTTCTTTCTATCCTCACACCTTCTTTTGAATTATTTTGTGTAATAAGATAAGCTGGAGTATTTTAGCTAATAACACAGCTAGATAAAAAGGTACGCCGAATTACCTAAATGTCATCAACAGATAAGTCTAAGAGAAAATGAACAGTTTTTTCAGTACTTAGAATCTCTCTGTGTCTTCTGCTAATAGTTAGATTTAAATTATGTTAATTAATGTGATTAAAAAGTAGCAACCCCAAAGGTGTGGCACCTTACTACACTAGCTTTGCTAGCTGCGTTGTTTTTCTTTGGGGTTTTTTTTTCACCACATACACCACATCAGTAAAAATGCATTCATTACTTTTTTTGACAAAGAAGGCAATTTATCATTTATGTATATGTGATTGATATATTATACCTGAGATGTGGCATTCATAAATGATAATGGATAGAAAAAGCTAATTAGCTAAGCTTAGCTAATGCTAGTTTGGCTAGCTCTTTTATTTGATATAACTCATACCTATTTGATTGTTTTACTGTATCAAGTGCACATTAAGATCCTTTTGAATGGCAATATTTAAGAAAGTAAAATGTTTTGAGTGTACATTTGAAGTTGATTTTTATTTTATTTTAAATGTGTATTTTGTTTTAGCTAAGATTAACAGGGTCGTCTCTTGCTAACTTTCTTTTGATGTAGCTTTTGTGCTTCGGCTTATTGTCTGGCTGCAAGAGGACATGAGAATTTCTCTAAAGTTAAACATATATACTCAGGCATTAACAATAAAGCAAAAAAAACAAACCCCAAAGCCTTAAAATACAGTTTTTTCTATACATTAATACTAGATGTCAATAGTTAGCCTCTGTTCAGTTTTTATAGAAAAATGTTTATTTCAGCCGAGATGGTGTCATCTATTACAGAGATTGTGTGATATCTTTAATTTCTTTAAAAAGAATATGTGTCATATCATAGAATATATATTTATAACAATTACTGCCACTTGCTCTGCACTATACCAAATTAATATTATGTTATGTCCATAATCTTCAACTGAAGCACTGTTGAATGCCCATTTAAGAAACATCTGAAGGTGGATTTTTCTGTGGTAGAATCACGCTGCAGAATCACCCTGTGTCAGCGATGCTGTTTCACTGTAGGTCTGTGTCACTGCAGAGAGGAGAGTCACTCTGAAAGTATATACAGTGATTATAGCCCCTGAATCAGATGGGGAGTGGACAGTTCGTTTGTAAGAAAAGGTCTATAATAAATAATAAAAATAATATAATAATAAATATATACATGTATTTACAGATAGTTGAAGACATGGCTGAATCTGTTGTCCTCATCCATATCTGCTTTATAGTTATTTGGTAATGCTTAAAAGTTAATGTTGGAACTATACAGACTTTATGTGCAGTCTTTTGCTCCTGGCTACGGATCAGACATGATGCTTAGAATACAAGCTTGAGAGCAGCCTCGAATTGTTTAATATTTTCAGTGATCTTGTTCTATTAAGGATTGATCAATACTCATTGACACTGGCTTACTGACTAAATAACAAGAAAAATAACAAAACTGCACCCTCTGATGGACTCCTGGAAACACATTAATTTTTTTCTGTGGACTCTCTGAGCTACTCAGATTAAAATGGTTACACTGCTGTATGAACGCATTGGAATCATCACAGAGGAATGTGACTTTGTAGCGTTTTGTCTTTGCAAATAGTGCTCTTTGGCAGTTGTGCAGCCATTTTTTTTAATATCTGTTAAATTTTTCTTTGCTGGTGTGAAATCTGAATTTTGTCTAGAGCGTTGTTCTTATTTTCTCCTGTTTTTGGAAATGTAATTTCCTCTTAGAAATACTGTCCTTTTTATATTGCTGCCTTCACTTAATATATTCTCAATATTAAAAGAGCCTCTTAGCTAGTACAAAACTTCGCCCAGCTCTATCTGAGGTGTTCCCTGCTCGCTACACTGGGAGGGTGATGGGCACGCCAGCCCCGGCAAGACTCCCCTCGGCTAAAATGTTGTAAATTAACACAATTAGCAGATCGCCATTCTGCTAATTAGCCACTGGCGTCTGCTGAGAGATGGCTAGAGAGAAGAATCAGAGAGGAAATAGGAGTCTAGGGATACCCCCACCCCCACCCCTGCTTGTGTTGTTACCAAACAAACACAGGGCCTCGGAAAAGAGAGCAAGAGAGAGTGAACGTGTATTTGTTTGTGTCTGCTTGCTTTCTGCGTTTTTTTCCCCGTGTTTATGTGTTTGCAGTAGCATAAATGGATGGGAGGAAGGGAAGATTTGCTCCTCCGTGAATGCATTTTATTGTGCGTGCCGGCTTTATTCACACAAGCACAAAAACACACACATAAACCAATTTTGAAACAGGGATTGCTTACTAGACCCCCAGCTGTGGGTCTCTACATGCAACCGCTGCCAGTCAATAAGTCGGAGGAAGTAGCTTAAATGACACCGATATTATCCTTTATTTGTGTGCACTAAGTCAAATCAAACAGGGTTCAATCTGCTGTGCGGCTGCTGTGATTACGCCCAGTCCAGCCTTTGATAGTGCCACGGCTTTGATAGTGAGACAACGATGGAGCCACTGTGTGACTGTCAGTGTTTGCAGATGGCATTGGCTGGGATTAAAGGAAACAGTGGCTCTCCAGCCTCCTGAGGCAATAAAGGGGAGAGCCAGGTGAGTATGTCTGAGATGAGAAGGAGCAAAGGAAGGAGGGAAGGGGAGGGAGGCGAAGTGAGCACAGAGGGACTAAATAAGAGGAGGGGTGGCTTCGAAGAAAGGGAGTGAAAAGTGGAGATATATATCGAAATAGATGGAGTCTGAATAAAAGGAGGTGAAGAGAAATAAAGACAGATCTAGCAGGAGGGGAGGTGGAAAATGGATAACAAACAAAAGCAAAGAGGAGAGAGGCTGAGAGTGAAAACAAGGCAGCAGGGAGGCATGAAGAAGAGGCAGACAGAATGGTAAAGAGAATGGTAGAGAGAGAGAGGTCAAGGTGGAGCTGTGCAGAAAGGAACTAAGCTTGAGACACAATGTGTTGTAATTCATAGCTCGCTACAGCTCCTGCGTGTGTGCCTGTGTTTGTCTGTCTGGGTCAGTGGATGTGCGTGCGTGCGCGTGTGCTCATGGACGTCTGCATGCCGGAGTGCAGGCATAGATGTTTTTTCTTCTTTTTTTTTTAAACGCCTGTGTGTCTGAGCACAGGTTTGTCTTTAAGTGTGTATTGAATGAAAGTACCACAAGCAGCGGTGTGTGTTTGTGTGTGTGTGTGTGTTGCTTTGTGGCACTCGGCGAGGCGCATTTTCAAACCCATCTCCAGCCTCTTCAGATGAGCCGGGGATTATAGAGTGACCCTCAATGCCTCTGTCTTATTGGTCTGGCCAGGGTGCATTAGGCTGCCGTAACCAGCCATCCCAGCATCTCTCTGTACCGCACTTTACCTGCTGATGTTCTCTCAGAGTCCTTGTGAGCTGTAGGATTTAACAAATCTTGATTAGTTGGATGCAAATCCATAATAACACACCAAATAACACACCAAACGCCTCTGGACAAATATCACCTTCTTGGACAGTTTTAATTATTGTTCAAATAATGTTAGCTTGACAGTGTGTTAACGCATCTCTGTCATTTTTTTCCTCAGGCGTAAAGATGCAGTGGACCCCTGAGCACAGCCAGTGGGCCGAACAGCATTTCGACATTTCGTCCACCACGCGCTCACCAGCCCACAAGGCTGAGGCATACAGGGCAGTACCTGGCCACCTGCAGCGCTCGGCCACCTACCAATATGCCTGGGCCAATGACGACATCTCGGCACTCACTGCCTCCAACCTGCTCAAGAAGTACGCCGAGAAGTACTCTGGTATTCTGGACATGCCGGGCTCATATTCGGAGACGCCTGGTGTCCCAGGAGTGATGAATGGACGGAAAGGTGAATCTGAGCCCTGGCAGGATGGTGTCTACCCCATGAGCTGCATCCCAGAGGGCATTTCCGTCAGGAAAGGGGGGGTTGCGGCAGCTTCAGAGGTGGTGTCTGGCATGTGCAGCTCTCCGGGCCTGGCTTCCAGCACCCTGAGTGAGCCCAGCTACTCCAGCAGTAGCTGTGGGAGCCACACAGCAACTGCCCTGCACTCTTCCTCCATGCCCTCTCAGGAATATGGCCCAGCGTACAGCAGCTCGTACCTACACAGCAGTTACAGCTCCCAGTCTACCCCCGCCCCGGCACTTCCATCTCCACTGCACAGCTCTGGGCTACTGCAACCACCTCCTCCTCCACCCTCCCACCCCACTATAGTCCCAGCTTACAATGGAGGCTCCCCCAACTTGTCTAGTTATAATTACCCCCCAGCAGGCTACCCAGCTCAAAACTCAGTTGGGCCAGGATATAGCCCTGGAGGAGCCCCCCCTCCCTCCTCGTACCTTCCCTCAGGCATTGCTGCACCTACACCCCTTGCTCCCTCTTCTGCTTTACCTGGATACCCATACCAGAGCCACAACCTGACCCCAATTGCCCCAACCCCTCTCAACAGTAGCTCCTCCAACTCACTAAAGAGGAAAGCCTTCTACATGACAGGTCAAGGAGAGATAGACCCCTCTTATGGTAACTTTGGCTACAGTCAGGCAAGGAGCTCAGCTGAGAGTCCCATGTACAGGGTAGCAGATAGCAGCAGTACAAACGGAGGCTCCAACAGTGCCGGTGGTGGTGGGTTTGACAGGAGTGCTGAGAAGTCATCTTTAACTTTTAATCCTCAGAAACAATCCACCATTGCATCAGAGCAGCAGAGGAAGTACAGCAGCCAGGCAACTGGTGGGCCTCTGACTCCACCAGCCTACGTCTCCTCCACCCTGGGGGGTTCCCGCTCAGCAGACTCTATTCCCAGCTTTACCTCCCCCTCCCTCAGTGAGCAAGGTCCTGAAGACCACCGTCTCCACCTTTCTCACTCAGCACCTGGACCTACCTCCTCCTCATCCACTTCCAACTCCCGGCCTGCTGAAGAACAACTAAAAACCAGTGATCCTCACCTCCTGGACATGGTTACCTCTGAAATTGTACAGCAGGGGCCCCCAGTGGATTGGAGTGACATTGCAGGTCTAGAACTTGCCAAGGCTACCCTGAAGGAAGAAGTCCTGTGGCCCATTCTGCGTCCAGACATGTTCAGCAGTTTAGGACCAGCCCCACGTTGTGTGTTGCTGTTTGGCCCCAGAGGCAGTGGCAGGACATTGCTGGGACGTTGCCTGGCCAGTCAGCTGGGAGCACCATTCCTACAGCTCAGCGGCTCAACACTGGCCACAAAGTGGCTGGCGGATGGAGAAAAAATCATCCGAGCATCATTCCTAGTGGCACGGTGCCGGCAGCCCTCAGTACTGTTCATTAGTGAAGTGGACATGCTCTTGTCTGCCCACCTCAGTGAAGAGAGCCCTATCAACCGACTTAAAGGTGAACTTCTTGCCCAGTTAGACTCACTTCTTATGGGCTCGGGCGAGGATGGAGGCAACCAAGTATTGGTGGTTTGCTCCACAAGCAGACCACAGGATATGGATGAAGGACTGCGCAGGTACTTTTCCCGGAGGGTCCTGGTGCCTCTGCCGGATAGCGCAGCTCGACACCAGATCATGAACCAGCTCTTGGCCCAATCTCAGCACAAATACTGTTTGAGCGAGGAGGAGCTGGCGCTGCTGGTCCAGCGTACAGATGGTTTCTCAGGACTGGATCTGGCCAGACTCTGCCAGGAGGCTCTTGTAGGCCTGTTACATGTCTCTGCACAGGGCGTGGACATGACTGGTATGATGCCCAGGGGACAAATCAGGCCCCTCACCTACCAGGACATTGAGAGTGTCTTTTGTAAATTCCAAGCAAGTATATCGCAGAAAGAGATTGACACTTATACTGAGTGGAACAAAATGTTTGGTTGCAGTCAGTGAAAAGATAGATCCCGCCCTTGAGAAAAAGAGGTTTCCACAGTTCCTCCCCTCAGGGCAGAAGCATTGTGCTGAAGGTGAAAGGCACACAAAAGGCCAACACAAACTCTCGCAAGCAGGGTTTAGATGCACCAAGAGAGTCGCTTTGATGAGACAACTGGCAATTTTGCAGTTAATGAACAAGAGTTTTAATTTGAATGCTCGACACTCCAGAAAGCCAGGGATTGTTTACACGTTGCAAGCAAGTTGGCTTCAGACAGGACACCCCAGTGTCTGTGTATATATTGTTATGTTGTTGTTCTTGAGATTTAGTTGGCTATCCAAGTGCCTGAAGTGGTGCTTTCTGAGTTTATTTGTTTATTTGCCTCACAATCTACATTCATGGCATGAGCTGATAATTATTAAGAGCTTTAAAAACTTCAGCGGCATGTCTGAAAGACCCAGACTGACAGTCACCATTGGGTGGTGGTCAATCGACCTTTATTGTCTTACTAAGAGCAGAAATCCATTTGGGCTGCAGTAGCCTGGGCCCCTGACTCTCACCCATGTTTCTGATCCTGTGTCTGCAAAACAAGCAAACGTAACAAACCAACAACCAACACTCAGGAAAGCGTTTGTGAATTGTACAGTACCTCAAGACATCTTCACGAAAAGCACTAAGACCTGAGAGGAGAATCTGGCAGTGTTAGGTGTACCTCAAAAGACTAGGCTAAATAGCAAAGAGGTGGCAATGAATGTACTAAATGTGTTCTGGATTCGTGGAACATATTCTATAGTGAGAGTAAAAACATTTTGTCCTCCCCCCCCCCCTCACTGCAGGTGCTTTAGTTACCTGTTTCTACTTGACCAATCCTTATGAGCTATTCCCATTGCTGTTTCAAAATATAAAACTGTGTTGTTTTGGGGTTTTAAAAGATGGGCAGGTGTTGGGGTGGTGGGAGTTGTACATTAATTAAAACAACCATAATCAACATTGTCTATAATACATGATCTAGGCTATATGGTTTAGCTGCATGGAACCGCATCAGTTATCAGCTAACTCCTGCGCAAAATATTCATCATACATTAAGCGAGGTATTCTCTGATCTTGATGAACTTAAATGGAAGGAATCATTCTTCATATAAATATACTTATTTGCTTTTTTAACTGAGAGATCAGGCTAGTACCAACAGCTGTTTACGTTAGCTTGGCATAAAATATGTTAGCCTGTTAGACTGCAGCATGTTAAAGTTAACCAGTTAACTTTTTAAACACTTAACAGTGTTTTTGCAGGGATTTTGCAATGCTAAGCTAACGGGCAAATGTTTGTAGACTTGGCTATCTTTCATAAAGAGAACAAATAACTGTATTTCTCCAAAATATCAGTGATATCAAAGAAAAAATACTGTCTTTTTGTGTGGGTATTACATTATTGTTTGACTTGGTCTTGCATGGTTTTGAGGAAAGCATGTTTGTCAGTCAGCATCAAGAAAGCGAGGCTTGGATATTGCCCTTACCGAGTCCAACTGAAATCATATTTAGTTATTTTTTGCAATATAAACAAATGTCATATATAAATATGCTTTTAAATTAACTTTTAACTTTGATATTATTAAAAGAACAGAACATGTTCATACAACCATAAACACCAATCAGACATTGTAACAATATGCTGTGACTAAAATAGGAGCACTATGAAAACATGGGTCATATCATACCTGTATAGGTGCAACATTTTACAAAAATTACATTATTGCTTTATTTGCTATATTTTATTGAGGTCTTTAACAATTACTGGTATTTATTTTGAAATAAAAAATGAAAATTAATAGTAAGTTTATTTTTCATTGTGAAAATGAAATTAAATAAGAAGTGAAATATAAGAACATGGTTACAGTTTTTGCACAAAAAAAAAAAAAACTTGGTGATTTAGTCACGTGACCTCTAAGGCCCTCTTAGCAATGATCTCTGAGTAATGTTACCGACTTTGACGTTTTTTGGGGACAGACAACAAAAAAACCTAATTTGAGAGATAGTTGTGCTGTAGAAGATGACACAATGATTTCAGTTGGACTTTGGTATCATAGATTTCCCCTTGTTAAACACTGGCTCAGTTTCCAAGACACAGATGACGCTTAGCTATAGACAAACAAATTCTTCATCTTCATTGATTTTAAATAAAAGTTAGTTTTTTAGGCTTAATCCACATCTAGGGAAACTAGCTTACCATGTTTAGCTGTATTTGAACTCGATTAGCTTCTGAATGAGATGCCACTCATGTAAATTACATATGTGGAAAGTAGAAATTTAAAGAAATTAATTCGGTTGCACGGCAGTTGTCATAACCATAATACGGTCAGCCAGGAGGTATATGCAGTTGGAATATATATGTGTTTTATTCTGTTTTTTTTTTTTATCTAAGATGACCACCCCAGAAAAACAAATCAATTCTAAACAATATCAGCGCTTTTTTTTTCCTGTATCCGTATTGTCTTTCTTTTTTGCAAGTTACTAAGATGGTATGAAGCACACGATCTACATACATTTGAGTTCATACCGTTTAACATGAGTGGGGAATTTTGGCAATAGTTTTGAAGGCCTACATCACTGAACAATATCTGTTTCCCTTTGTATCATGTTGGAATGTATTTTTGTCTCTTCCTCGCCACCGTTTAAGGAGCTGTTGTGGCATGGGACTACTTAAGTCTATTGCACGTGCACTAAAGCGTTTTGTGTGTAATCTGGGGGGGGTTGTTGAAATTTCTCAACGGCATTGACAGCACTTATTTAGTTGGTGTTTTATTTATCTAAACCGCTGATCAGTCTTACCCTTTTTATCGTACCTCCTGATTTTTCTATAAGAAAAATATCCCAAAGGTACGAGCTGCTTGTTGTGTATGCCTCGTGTCGCTATCTCGTAGGCACCATCAGTTCAGCACCTGGAGTGGGGTGGGGGTGGGGAGTTCTGCTGAGCATCAGCAAACTGATGGAAAAGAGAGACAGACAGGCAGCGTGGCAGCAGCAGCAGCACAAGGGGGGAAAGCAGAGTGGTCCGTCAGAAAACCACCCTCAAAACAATCTGTACCAGAATTCCTTCTGTCAGCAAATCCTCTGGAGAGAGAGTCCCTTTGGACAGAAAAACCTACTAATGCACTTCACAGCACACAACAGTAGCACAGGCCTTTCCTCCTCTCTCTCTCTATCCCTCGCCATTCTCCACAAGCCGACCGACAAACCACTTGAAACACACTGGTCAGTGCTACGCTTTGTTTGTTATGTGTTTAGCGGTCCTCTTTTCATGTCTTTTTCTCCATGATGTGCTGATCTTTTCCCCTTTTTTTCCTTTCTTAAAATAGAGTTCTTCTTTAAAGCATTTCTACCTCATGGCTACAAAACACACGTGGTATTTGATTTAGGTCTTTTACAAATGTCAGACATTTGTGGAAAATGTATTTTTAAAAAAAGACAAAAAAAGGAGGAAAGAATAACACCATGAAGTTTTGCGCAGTCTACCTCAGATGACTGTACTTAAAAACATTTAGCTGATGGTGCGACCGGAGGCTGCAGCATAGCCTAGTGTGCGTGTGCGCGTTTGTGTGTGTTACCACGTGTCCTCTCCGAGACAGACACACACTCGTGAAAACACACAAGCAATTCGTAAAGGGGGCGGGGGAACGGTTGGGGGTCAACCTAAACGTGACCTGGAAATGTATAATCCAATACATTTGCTTTAATCTTCTGTGAAGTACTGTGGTTGTGCGCGTGTGAATGTGTATATACATGGGCACACTCTTTTTATTTAATTTTATTTTTTTTGATTTAGTGTGTTAAATTTTATAAATTGTTAGTATATATAACACACTTGCACAACTTTAAAACAGAGTGTAATGTGTTTCTGTTGTACATATCTATACATACAATACAAATGCACCACTTGTTTATATGTGTGAATATGTTGCCATACTTGCAGTCAACTTAAATGTATTTTCATGTAATCTGAGATACAAGCAGCAACAAACAATTCATTAAAGACATTTTCTTGGGAGATTACAGCTTGTATGTTTTTTTTGTTGTTGTTGTTTTTATTGGAAGCATAAAGTTAAGGCTCTGAGGGATGAATTGGAGGTAAAAGATTAATAACTGAATTTATTTATCAGTAAAATGGAAAAATAAATGTATTGTCCTGCCAAAAAATAGCCCAGCTGAAAAATCGCCTTAATGAGCCTTGTGTTAGTCACCCTTGTGTGCAATTATAAAATCATCCGTGTTGCACAGGAAGCCAGCGCTGTCGCTTCTCTCATTAAAATGTAACAATTCATTTCTCTTGCAATGCTAAGAGTGGCTAGACCAAAACATTAAAGCATTAATTATGTTTCTCCATCACAAAGAATTTGGATTATGTGAGTGCTCTTAAAGAAAATGATGTGCATTTACCCGCTATATTTCCTAGGTGTCATTATATAGCTACTGGTGAAGTGTGGGAAGCTGCCGCGTAGCCTCCGTAATTATCTCTGAAAACTCGAACACGTCACAAGGTTAAAGTGCATCGAGGGGTGCCGTTTTCTTTATTTTTCCACTTTGGCACATGCTACACATGCTATGATCATAAATAATTCATGACATATATACATCTATTTCCCCATCTGATTTTTCGGACACAAAGAAATAACCCGTATTTATGACGCTATGGTTGATCATCAGGTGACGTTATTGGAAAATTAAGTCCAGCAGCCGGACTTGAGCTTTACTCACAATTTCAAGGTTTACATTCTTCCCGTGTGTGCGTTTGTACCCCGAGGTTATCTGCCAAAACACTGTCCTCTTCATTTTCTAAAGGTCCTCCTCCCTCCATAAGCTGTGCCTCACACCTTCGCTCAGTCTTTTGCACAACAATTAAAATATGTTAAGTGATCATTTTCCTTAAGTAGTCTTAAATGTGCAATCTATTCAAATATGAGAGGAAATTGCCCACAGCTCACAAAAAAGAAAAAAAAATCGGAGGCGATTGAACGGGGTAAAGCTGGAATAAATTATGCAAATAACACAAAGGACTTTACCAGTTGAAAGCCTAATTTTCCTATAATCAGCACACTGTCGCCTAATATTTTTTTTCCCACCTCTTATTAAAAGTGACTGTTCTTTTGCCGATCATCAGATGGCTCTATCTGTCTAGCTGCTCTTGTGAAATGACTGCAGCCTGCCAGACTAAATGCTAAAGCATTTTGCTGGAGCTTTTAGATGATGGTTACATTCCCACACAAGTAATTATGCGTCGGAGAGTCCAGAAATAAGGTTTAATTATACAGTAATCGTCTGTGATGGACACTAGGAAGTGGTGAGTACCGCCAGACTGCAATCCATCAATGACAAACCTCTGGCCAGTTTTAATTCCTCCTCATTTGCATCCTAACCTCCACACCAAGTTGCGCAAACGCTGTTAAATGTTAATAGGACCTGTCTCGCCACTCAAAATGAATGGTTAAGCCATTTTTAGTCACTTTTCTGTCTCCCTCCGCCTCCACCTACACCACCGCCACTCACCCTCTTCTATCCTCACTTTGTTTCATCTCTTGTCTTGTCTTTATCTCGCTAGCTCTTTAACCAGCTCACTTCTTTTATTCCTTTCCACGGCCATCATCTTCACACAATTCTCTTTTTTCCTGCCATCCTTTCCTCCCATCTTTCATTCTCTCCTCCTTCCTTCCCTTCCTCACAGGCTTCGCCGTGGAGGAGGCACAGAGCGGTCACTGATGCACTAATTGGGAGCAACACTTACAGTTTTATCTCCCCCTACCACTAATAGCGGTCTGCACTGAAGCAACTCACCTTAGGATGAGGAATGGATGGATGAGTTGGAAGTAGGAGGTGGGGGGGGGGGCTTCAATGAAAAATTCTTCCACGCAGTACCACAGCACAGACTCAGTGTGAGATTGGGCCCTCAAGCCATCGTAGTTAATCCATATCCCGCAGGACCTCGGACTCAATTCCCTGCTTCATTAATTGAAAACGATGGCCCTTTTTTGGTGCGTGTGAATAAAACAAGGAGTCATTTATGAAAAAGAAAAAAAAAAACATTTTGTCTGGTTTGTTCCTGAAGTAGCTGCAATCTCATTATGTCTCTGTGCTGCATTTCAAAATGTGCTATCATCTTTGTCTTGATTGTCTCCCAACGTCGGGAGAGATAAATACACACGCCGCTTTGCTGTGCTGATGCCAGGACTGTTTTTCAGTGAATCATTTGAAGTCTTATCAGCCTTTATGGAAATAAAGCCTTTGCTTAATAAACTGTTTCACAGGCTTTGGGAGAGTAGCACATAAACACCTTTTTTCTCCCTACAACGCCATCATTAGCGCATCTTGTTCAATGCTTTACACATAATTGGAATCAACATCTATTGTTCATGTTCTTGACCTTCCACTTGTTTTCCAGCAGACACTTAGAAACATTGTATTACTGCTGAGAGGGAATCTTAACTAGGCGAACACATGCTAAGTGCCTTTACTTTGTTTTATCAGGGGCACATTGCTTCACTTTGAATATAACTTGAAAACTCATACCTATCTAATTTAAATTATCTGATGAAAAATAACAATACAATCTCAAGTATTTAAATATACAATTGAAATTAATCGTGCTGCCTATTTTCTATATGTAGCTGACAATTGCCCATGCAGTGTGGATCAAAATACACATTAAAGCATAATACAGTGAAACTATGATATGTAGTATAATAGAAAGTCGAACAAAAGGTTATGAAAAATGAAAAATTGAAAAATGTACAATAAACGTCATAGACCACGACATTACCTCTCATTAAAGCTGAAATAATTTTTTTATATATATTAACAGTCATTCACGTTAATACTTGAGTAAAACAGTGACATCATGAAGTCTATACTTCCATTCCTTAGTATCATCTCATGGTCAGCTTACAGAAAACAACTAATCGAATACCCCGTAACTCACACTGGCTATATACAGGGAGCCCTAAACTGTATCAGATGTGCACATTGCTCTACACATCATCACCACTAGCAGTATCACTGAAATCAGTGTACACCACATTCACCACTGCCATAGCAATCTTAGAAGCACAAGCTGGGAGCCACAATCAGGGAAGCCTAGAAGGCTGTTGGTCAGTTAACATGGATGAAAAACAGGTACAATAAGATGTCCATACCTGAGGCTCGAGAAAGTGCCAAACAAATGCTCATAGCTCTACCCACAAGGCTAAAGAGATATACAAGAGAAGCAGAGGCTAAGATAATAAATGACTTATTTTCCAAAAATCCATTCTCATGTTTCATTTTTTCCCCCTGCAGTGGAACCTTTGTTAATTTCATTAACACCAAAGCAGCTGTAATTTATTACCAACCCGTGTACCTTAAATTACAGTTCTACACACCAGCACAAATCACTTATACCATCTTTCTTTTAGTTTTTATGTATTTTTATTCATAAACACAACACCAGCAACAACACAGTTGAAAACCAGCCCAAAGAGGCTGAAAAGCAATTTGCAAAAAGTCATTCTACTGTAGAGACATTTACAAGAAGGTTACAGTGCTGCAAGCCTGACTGTTCACTGCTTTAGATACCTGTTGAAGGCTCTGGCTGCTTGATCTGAGTTAGCATACACTCAACTTTAACCTCACTCTGCTTTTTTGCTAACTTTGCATTAGCATGCTGTCTGTGCAGATGCTTGGAAATAGTGTTAGCGGTATAATATAACTGTTTGTTATCTGGATACAGTTTGCACTTTACCATTGCACTCTTATTCTTTCATGCGATAAAAAAGTAACATTCATATCTCTCCTCGTCAAAAATTGTAGAACCGTCGACCATTTCTCTCACTGCAGCACGGGAACTGAAAACAGCTGATTGTAGCACAAAATATTTGTAACACAAGCAACAACATAACTGTAACTGTGATGTAATTGCTGAATTCAGTACAGTAAAGTGTTCCTAAAAAATGAAATGTGGTTATAGTAACACCTTACTTTGGAACAAATTGCACCTAACACTGTGTATTTATGTATGTATAGGCATTGACACCTCCTATTTGTTAACACTTACAGTAACACTGAAGTTAATATATTATATACAGTCTATGATTAATTTCACTTTTTTGTTTTTGTTTGTTGTTGTTGTTGATCATTTCAATGTACTAGTTGTCAATAGTGGCCATACTTTCTAATTATAGATTAATGCTTCATTCTGATGCTTAATGTAGCACTTGAACCAACTAAAATGAGTAATAAAATCAATGAACTATTGGTTTATAGTTAATATTAATTGCTTGTCACATAAGAGCAAGTTTGTAAAAAAAAACTGAGTTTACTGAACTCAGTATAATATTACCTATTTAATATTATACTGTATTTTTAACCTTGTCTTGCAGTTATAGAAGTACTCATGATACAGGCACAAAGCTATCCAGATTGTAAATGCTGAAATCACTCAGCCTTGAGCGACTGCTCAAGCTTCTTCATCTACAGTTCCAGACCCAAGTCCTGTAGTCACTCCAGCTCTCCCCATGGGGTGAGTTGGGTTGCTGCAGGGATTTGCTCCTTCAGTGCCCACTGTTGTTTAATCGCTCACCAAAAGCATTTCTGATCGTCTCTGGGTGGAGTTACATTTACTCTCAAACCTCATCAGTTCAGTCACCTACAATGAGTTCATTGATGAGTTTTAACAGGTTTTTAACAATCCCCTTAAGGAATCCTGAGCTGAATCTGAAGTGTCTAATGATTAACAGGGGAATAGATCTGTATCTGAATTTCCTGTCAAGTTTAAAGTGTTGGTTGATGAAGCAGGTTGGGGAGACAAGGCTTTAAAAAACGGTTTCTATCATTTCCTAAGTGATAAGTTGAAGGGTAAGTGAGCCACTAAGAATGACACTCAGCTAAGATTCCCTTGAGAATTTAGGGGACTGCTAGGGAGATTGATAACCAGTTTGATAACCAGGCACAAGAAAAGAACTACAAATCCTACACTTCAAGTAATTTCAATTGTATTTAGATAGTGTCAAATCAAAACAACAGTTGCC